GGAGAAGCTTGAGTGTGTGACATCATCGCTAGAGCTCCTCTTGGATCGACAAAACGTAACTGGAATATATCGCTCCCACACCCACAAATTTCACTCCACAGCCATAAAAAATACATCAAAATAGAGGCATATGTGTGTCCTGCTTCTCACAAAAGAGGTTTCAAATCATTAAATCGTACTCCAGCAGGTGACCAACTGTCCAAAAATGGCAAAGAACCCTCCCATTGGCCCTAATGTAATTTTTCTCCAAGAAAATCCTGATCATCGCTCAGGCTCAGACCTTTTTAACTCGCTGTTGTGGCCACATTTTTTAGAGTACAGACATGAAAAACACATCATGGTGTTCATGGAGGGCAGAGGATTCGTATGATGTTCTTATTTTCATTCTGGGATTTAAGGAAATCAGGCTATGTGAAGAAGTTCAGAGGCCCTAAATTCACTGCAGTTAGGCAGCTTCTCATTTAAACAGTAGGTCAGTTAATGCCTTTGATCTCACAGCTGTACAGGATGCAATCATTAACGAGACACACACACACAGTCTGACAATGAGTGTGCATGTGCGTCTTTGTCTATAAGACCTTCATGTACACACAGTTAATATGTGTCTGCTTCACAACCTGTCTCCACCCACAAACTTTGAGCTACAGAAACCATTCTGGGCTTCAAAAATTCAGCTCATTGAGGACATTATGGGGTGTTTTGAGGATTGTGATAATAAATTGTATTAATGTGTTCAGCAGAGTCGTGGGGTTCTCACAAGCTCCTTATCATGAATATATACAGAGGTTGACCATCAGGGCCAGGTTGGAGAGCTATTTCCTCAGCTTTAAGCCTTCTCTCTCCTGCTGTAGTGACACATCTTCCTTCGCCATGGCAACCAATTAGTGCACCTGGAGACACACAGCTGACTGGACAGCTGCTTCTAAAGGCCATATGAGACACATGAAGCCAGGCTAAATACACAGAGCACTGAGTGTTACATTTAAAACCCTTCACCAGAGCACCTGACAAATTCGGCCCCTATCTCCTCCCACAAACTTTGAGCTACAGAAACCATTCAGGGCTCCAAGAATTCAGCTCATTGAGGACATTATGGTGTGTATTTAGGATTTTGTAAACTAATTGTATCAAAATGTTCAGCAGAGTCATGGGGTTCTCACAAGTTTCTTATCATGAATGTAGCCCTTACAGAGAATGAGCATCAGGGCATAGTTTTGGATTTTGTTTCTCAGCTTCAAGCCTTCTTTCTCCTGCTGTAGTGATGCATCTTCCTTCGCCATGGCATCCAATTAGTGCACCTGGAGACACACAGCTGACTGGAAAGCTGCTTCTAATGGCCATATGAGACACATGAAGCCAGGCTCAGTACACAGAGCACTGGAGGTTTCATTTAAAACCCTTCACCTGAGCACTTGACAAACTTTGGCCCCTATCTCCTCCCACAAACTTTGACCTACAGAAACCATTCAGGGCTCCAAAAATGTATTCAGGATTTTTATTCATTTAAATTTTCCCCACTTTAAATGTTATCCCGTTATTAATACATTATTAAATCCTTCATACAAATTTAAACTCATTCAAACTGATTCAAACCTTTCTAATACTTCAACCTTGTCTAATACTTTTTTAGGATTTTTTATAATTCAAATTTTTTCCCATTTTAAATCATTCTCATTATTTATGCATTATTTAATTCTTCAAACAGATTCCCAGATTTACTACTACAACTACTACTAATATCACTAATATCACTACTACAACTACCTATTATCATACTACTTCTAGTGCGAAAACTTAAACTTATGCCACTTCTCACTTTTCTGTGTTTTAAGGTAGTTTTCTTCCTTATCCAATTTTTTTTGCAATTTCAGACAGTTTTCTAGGCTTATTCAGCATGAATGCAATTTTAATTTATGAAGCACATTCATACTAATTGTACTTCAACAATTTTCACTTTCATCCAACTTCTTCTTCTTTTTCTTCAGCCCTTTAACCAATTTTACATTTAAACCTTCCTCAATTTTTTAAGCAGTTTTGCATTGCTTTTTCAACTTTCAGCACTCAGCATTTCCACGCATTTTCTGCAAGAAAATGCAAATTTTCTAGTGTTGAATTACAACCCTATTCTAGTAGGAATAGTGTAGAAATGTTTAGTTTATCTCGTAATCATTTGTTTAGCTTTGTCAGCCATTATGTAGTTATACTGTTAGTTAATAATCTGAATGTTGGTTTGTAGAATCCATTATTAACTGTGATGAAGTTCATTTACATGTGTTTACCCTTGTGTTGTTCACAGTTCATATGTGTTGCAATCTGTTTCATTTCAGAGTAATTTAACATGATCAATGATTTTTGAAAAGTGAAACTGAAAGCATAATGAGAATGCTTGTTAATGTGATTCTACAATTCTTTATATGTGTTTAGCACCAAATCCTTATTATGACCCAAGCAATCAATAACATTAATCATAGTGAGTGAATATTTGATCTGACTCCTTTTCTAGCCAAAAGTATAAGTTGGATCAAACAATCAGGGCTCTTGAAAGTCTCCTCTCAGGAAGCTGCAGCTGGAGATCAGGACCCCCTCCTTTCTCTCCTCACACCTTAGAGACACTCCCAGTCTGAAGAGTATAAAACCAGAAAAGCTGGGTTGCTCTGGTTCTCTTGGTTTTTTTTGCTCTCTTGTTTTTTCCTCTTTTTTTTCTTTTAGCTTGTTTTCTCTTTGTCTTACTTTTCCTTAGTCTTTTAAGTTTTCCACCACGTGTTCATTCACGTTGATTTTTCTTTAACATCGTCTTAGTTCAAGTTGTGAAACTTAAACTTTTTGTGCGCATAGCAATTCAAGATTAAGCCTTGAATTGATTTTTCTTTAATTTCACAAAGCCATTTTTGAAATAGTTTCAACTGGTCATCGAGCCTCTTTTTCATGGTTATCTGTGTGATTGACAAGTCACTTCTGAACGCCACTCAGCAGGTCCAAAGTCATGCTCTGAGCCAGAGTGTTGCAGTGAGCCAAAGGAGCATTCAAAGGATTCATAAGGCATTGGTTTTCGATAGGGCCAGGTGCTGTGACTCCCAGCCTGTCCTTCGTATGACTTTGGTCCTCTTCAGAGCTGAACCTCTCGAACCAGTAGCCTGGACCTTCTGAAACTGCTCCATCTTCTCCAAGGACCAGCCTCACATTCACACGGTTCCATTAACATTAACACTATAACACTGACACTGTAACATTAACACAGTAACATAAACACTGTAATATTGACACTGTATTACTGACACTGTAACATTAACACTGTTACATCGTCATTAACATTGTAACATTAACATTGAAACATTAAACTGTAACATATAACACTATAACATTAACACTGTAACACTAACACTGAAACACTAACACTGTAACATTAACATTGTAACATGTAAAGCATCTGAAAATCATAAAGTCCTCTGAATGTCTCAACAGTAATGATGATACATGCTTCTATTATTGTGGACATCCTTATATGACACCTTTACTTTAATCAGTCCAAACAGACATTGAACTCATCAGAAAAACTTGATTTTCCTGCTGTTATTAGAGTCATTGAACTCATCATGGACAATTTATTTTCCTGCTGTTATTAGAGTCATTAAACTCACCTTAAATACTTCATTATCCTGCTGTTATTGAAGACATGAACTCACCATAAAACACTGTTTTCCTGCTATTATTAGAGACATTGAACTAATTATGGACAATTTATTTTCCTGTTTTTATTAGAGTCATTGAACTCATCATGGACAATTCATTTTACTGCTTTTATTAGAATCATTGAACTTACCATAAATACTTAATTATCCTGCTGTCATTAAAGTAATTGAACTCACCTAAACACTATTTTCCTGCTGTTATTAGAGTCATTGAACTTACCATAAATACTTAATTATCCTGCTTGTATTAAAGTCATTGAACTCACCATAACACTATTTTCCTGCTTTTATTCGAGTCATTGAACTCATCACAGATACCTTATTATCCTGTTTTTATAAGAGACATTGAATTCATCATGGACACTTTATTTTCCTGCTTTTATGAGAGTCATGGAACTCATCATGGATACTTTATTTTCCTGCTTTTATTAGAGTCATTGAACTCAACATGGGTATTTTATTTTCCTGTTGTTATTAGAGTCATTGAACTCATCATGGACACTTTATTTTCCTGCTGTTATTAGAGTAGTTGAACTCAACATAAATACTTCATTATCCTGCTGTTATTAGAGTCATTGAACTCACCGTAAAACTTCATTATCCTGCTGTTATAAGAGTCATTGAACTCACCATAAACACTATTTTCCTGATTTTATTAGAGACATTAAACTAATCACAGACACTTTATTTTACTGCTTTTATTAGAGTCATTGAACTTCTCATGGAAACTTCATTATCCTGCTGTTATTAGAGTCATTGAACTCACCATAAGTACTTCATTATCCTGCTGTCATTAGAGTCATTGAACTTACCATAACACTATTTTCCTGCTTTTATTAGAGTCATTGAACTCATCATGGACACTTTATTTTCCTGTTTTTATAAGAGACATTGAACTTATTATGAACACTTTACTTTTCTGCTTTTATTAGTCATTGAAATCACCATAACACTTCATTTTCCTGCTGTTATTAGAGTCATTGAACTCACCATAAATACTTCATTATCCTGCTGTTTTTAAAGTCATTGAACTCACCATAAACACTATTTTCCTGCTGTTATTAGAGTCATTGAACTCATCATGGACACTTTGTTTTCCTGCTTTTATTAGAGTCATTGAACTCATCACAGACACTTTATTTTCCTGTTTTCATTAGAGACATTGAACTCATTATGGACAGTTTATTTTACTGCTTTCATTATAGTCATTGAACTCACCATAAATACGTTATTATCCTGCTGTTATTAGAGTTATTGAACTCACCATAAATACTATTTTCCTGCTTTAGTTAGAGTCATTGAACTCATCACGGACACTCCCTTTTGCTATGTCTATTTACAGGTATTTTTTCCTGGTCTAGACTCTTGTTTGTCTTGCTCCTCTGAGGACCCTCTCCGTTGTCTGTAACAGATCTGTAGTCGTCTCCTCATCATGTCCTCCAGCTCCAGATCTTCAGAGGACGTCAAAGCGCTCCTTCAGTCCAGCACAATGACCAACCCACAGCTGACCGTGGACTTCTACAACAGCTGGTCCGAGACTTACGAACAGGTGAGCAGACATATGACACTGGTCCTCTGGATCCAGAACACACAAAAATAAGGGTGTCGTTGGAATTTTCAATGCTGAAAGATAACCAATGGGCGGCACAGTGGTGTAGTAGTTAGCACTGTCGCCTCACAACCCGAAGGTCCTAGGTTTTTAATCCTGGTCAGGGCATTTCTTGTTTAAGGGGGGACATGAGCTGCTTGGCGGAGGTCTGCGCTCTCCGAGTGCTTTTCTAGTTATAAATGGGTCCCACGTGAAAGTAAAAAGCAGTGGCGCTACTGTAGATGCCAACAGACTACCAGCAAACACAATGTTTGCAGGACTTCTACAGCTAGGATAAAGTGACATAGTCCAGGACCTGAGGTCAACAGTTTAGCGGCGCTACAACACGCCAGAGCAGTCGATTAAACAGAGTGGCGACACTCCCATAGACACTGCTCTGCAACACGCTACAGCAGGTCCCTTTTGACAAGAAACACTTATGTTACAGACACTTGGCTTACTAGAGGACTCAGACTTCCTCTTAGACCCGATTAGAGACTGGATTCCTGTTTTTTATCCGTTTAGGCGTACAGTCTTTGCATACATGTTCGCAGGGCTCTCAAGTTTTGAACTAAGCTTAGAGTGAGATTTCCTTGGGGGGGGGGGGGGGGGGGGTCGAAGAGTGATTGAAGATAATTATTAGTATAATAATCTAATAAATACAATGAAGTATGAGGGCCACTTTAAGAAAGAAAAAAACATTTTTAAATCTTTGAGATTAAAGTTATTATTTAGGAGAATAAAGTCATTAATGACTTTAAGAATAAAGTAGTAAAGTTACCTGTTGTGGAGGAGAGTTGTTAAAATCAGCACTGAGGAGCATTTAGATGAATTGTACTTTAGTATAGGTTTCACAGACATGGAGATACTTAATCATTTGGTATATCAGCATTACACTGTCACGAGTATCAGAACTTTAAAAAGAATATATGAGAAATGCTGCTTTTGTGGAGGGGAAATGGCTGTACAGAGGCTAAATTCATCAATGCAGCTGTTAATAGCAATAGCATAGGGCTTTAGTTTATCATATGAGTTTATCTGCCATGAGGTGTTGAGGTCTCTGCATGTGTAGGTTACTGACTTACTGTAATCATCGGGTCTATCTCGTCCTTATAAAAACCTGCTCTATTTCGGCAAGTGTCTGTCTTCTTCTGTAGTCAAACCGCAAGATATCAAAATCTACCCAGATACAGCAATGCTGCTTTTTGATTGGCTGTTCAGTAGATATACTTTATTTGATTGGCTTGCGCGTGGCACGCAGCTTCTGAACTCTCGGAGAAACTCCGTTGATTTCCCCCTGTTCCATAGTTAAAGAGGTGCAACTTGATGGACATCACCATGTTCATTTAAATGCGTGAGAAATACAATGTGTGGCGTGTGAGCGTGTGAACGAGTGGGAATGCGTGTGTCTCACGCTGAATGCGTGAGACTTGAGAGCCCTGTGTTCGGCCTTGTTCAGATATTGAAATAAAAACAAACTAAACCTGCTTGGTCAGAGGAAAGGTCACAGGATGGAAAATCACTGAAACCGTTTGTCATCACTTCACACCTGTTTTCTTATTAGTTGGGTCACAAAGTGAGATTCTGTGACCATCCTCTGGCAAGGATGTTTTGATGTTTGATTTGACCTCTATGGACCCTTTGGAAAAGATTTAGCCCCCAGGTCCCTCGCAAAAATCCCGGCATTTTTTGCTAGACAGCCAAATTCAAGATGGCGGCCGGCGCCATCTCTAAAAATTAACTTTTGATCTGGATGACCTAGAATCATGTATGAAGGCACTTTTCCATACAAGTCAACCATGAGGATTCCAAATCTGACATAGTTTTAATCATACAACTTTGTTTTGACCGCGATATTCAAGATGGCTGCCATCTAGTACTGTGATTCTCAACCTTTTCAGGACTTGACCCCCCAAAACAATCATATTTGAACTGGGTAAACCCCAATTTGTTTGAGTCTGTTCCACATATAAATATTGTGAAAATAGCCGATCTACAAGCCTGTAACACCTTGTATTGTGAGGCGTGTGAGCTTGCAGATCGTCTATTTTCACAATTTTTGCCTTTTTCTTATATTATTTGACAATTTGGCCAATGGTTTAGCATTGTTTGTTGATTACTTTGGATGCAGTGATGATCTTTTTCTTTGAGGATCTTACAAGTCCTAACATTATCATTTCACTGTCATCTGGGGGTACGCCACCAACCAATGATCAAGTACAGAGAAAACTTAACAACAACATAAAGGCCAGTGAATATTGCACTCAAACTATCCAGTATGCTTGATTCATGTCAGCAGCAGCAGTACTTAACTCAGGCAATTTGATTGGCTGTCCCTTCATGTCAGGGATCATCTTTGGGTCGACTTAATGGTATATGTGGCTTCATTACACAGACTACCACACTGGAGAATACATGACAGTCTGTCTGTTCTTGTTGGTATATTATTTTCTTCCATATTCAAGCAGCCATGTATTCTGCATGCACACTGTCTTTACAGATCAAATGTGTAGCTCCTCTAACTGTGGGCTCAAAAGAATGACTGAGGCAACATTTAGGAAAGCAGCAGCACTAAACAAGCAGCATGTGCTAACATGCCCTGACATGAAGGGACAGGAGGGTGGAGGGTGGCGGACCTCGCGCAGTTGTATTTTCATCTGGCGGAGCCCGATGAACCGGCGTACAGCCAGTTTGGTATTTTCATGGACTGAGGCGCACGGAGGCGAACCGAGATCTGCCAAGCTGGGAGTGGTGGCGTGGCAGGGGGAGGTGTCGACAGAATCAGCGGGCGCAGTGACATTTTCGTGCTCGCCAATGGCATGTAAAGTGCACTGAAAGCTCGCCGATTCAAACCTGGTCAGCTTTCAGCGCAGGCAGAGTGCAGCTGGTCTACTAGTATTTTGGTAGACCAACGGCATATCGGCATACGTCACCGATGCCTCACCAGCAGGTTTCCACAGTTTCAGGCACATTTCAGTGCAATAAATAATCATCAACTAATAATCTGAGTCAGCACATACATTTAGATCTATATAGATATATTCTGATCTATATCTGATCTGATGAGCGCGTTTGGCACGCGTATTTCTCGTGCAACTCGACCTGGACACGTCTCCGTGTCCTCTCTCTGTCCTGCTGCAGCTGAACAGATGATTTGTTTCAGTGCTCAGATGAGTTATTTACTTTAAGCCTACATACTAATATTATAATATTCAGTTTTGTGAGGCAAATTTATTTTATATGCCAACATCTATGAAAGAAAGAGCCAGGCCACGGAGCGCGATGCATCATTTACACACAGATGGTTCCGATTTTAATGCCATTTTTGGAGTTTATGTTGTGATCTGTGCGCTCAACCCGCCTTTGTCACATGAAGTTTGAATATGTGCAACTTTATGTGAGTGTCTTTATTTGTGGAAAAGGGTGTTTGTCTTACCAGTGGGTCCAACATTACACACACCAAATCCATCTGTGCTGATATGAGAGAGTGTGGAGGACGCCAAATGCAGCGCTTACAGTGACACTTGTTGAGGAGCTGCCTTCTGTCGCCATCGTGTGGCATTACTGTCTTCAGACATCTCTTGATCTCTCTGACTACTCCACGGAAATAGTAATACGCCTCACTGATGGCGGATTTAAAGGCAAGGAGAAGAGCCTATGTGATTGGTGAAAACAGGCCTCGGCTGTGTTAAACCCACTCCACGCCCTCTCTCCTCGACGCCCACGCCCTCGCTACGACTTACGCCGCTGGGAGGAGCTGAGTTAGGGAGGGGGGATACTTACGCCGGGCTGCACTGCTCACCAAAATACCAAACTGTGCTTGGGAACGCCTTGTCGGCGCGGCGGACCTGACTTATGCCGCGCCTGTGGCATGTCTCCGGCGAGGCACGAAATAGAGCCCCATGTGTTACGGGCTTGTAGATCGGCTACTTTCACAATATCTATATGTGGAACAGACTCAAACAAATTGGGGTTTACCCAGTTTAAATATGATTGTTTTGGGGGGTCAAGTCCTGAAAAGGTTGAGAATCACAGTACTAGATGGCAGCCATCTTGAATATCGCGGTCAAAACAAAGTTGTATGATTAAAACTATGTCAGATTTGGAATCCTCATGGTTGACTTGTATGGAAAAGTGCCTTCATACATGATTCTAGGTCATCCAGATCAAAAGTTAATTTTTAGAGATGGCGCCGGCCGCCATCTTGAATTTAGCTGCCTAGCAAAAAATGCCGGGATTTTTGCGAGGGACCTGGGGGCTAAATCTTTTCTAAAAGGTCCATAGAGGTCAAATCAATCGTAAAAACATCCTTGCCAGAGGATGGTCACAGAATCTCACTTTGTGACCCAACTATATGGTCCACAATAACAGCGACTCGATGTCTGAAATCAGCTGAACATGTGACTGAAATACTAACCATCACCATGAACCAACAGGACTGTGAGACCATCTGCTACAGAGCTCCTCATCTGGTGGTCGACGTTCTGAACGCAAACTTCTCTGGGAGTCGAGAAGGTGTTCAGGTTCTGGACGTGGCCTGTGGGACCGGCTTGGTCGCTAAACTGGTGAGCGAAAACACTTTTGGATTTGATAAAGCTAAAATGAAATTAATCCTGTTTGGTTCAGTGATCAGGACGTCAGTCTTTCAGGTTTTTTAATCCTGCTGCTTTCCTGTACACTCTCTTTGTTTGTGTGTACAGATGTCAGCGCACGGCTTTAAACACTTTGTGGGAGTGGATGGTAGTGAGAAAATGCTGAAACTAGCTGCTGAGACAGGCCTCTATCAGGACCTCAGACTGGCTGTACTGGGAACAGAACCTCTGCCGACAAAGACCGGTAAACTGGAAACCTCAAAAACAATCCCACACATATACAGAAAAAAAAAATCTGATACGACAACTTTAAACATCTGAAATCTGACTCACAGTTCAAGTTGAAGACCTGGAGCTTTAACATCTTAACATGAGCAGATCTGCAGGATCAGGAGACAGTCATACGTTAGTTTCTGAAGGTTCAGGTTATGGAGGAGAAAAGATCGATTTCTGGCAGATATTATTGGATCTTCCAACATGGAGAAATCTGTGTGTTTAACCATCAGAAGATTGAAGTGAATATAATCAGGGTAAATTTGTAATAAAAAACACTGAGGATTATAATGTTTGACATAGAACAGATGTTTTCAGCGCTGAGAAAGCTTGACTCTGAAAGGTGGAAAATCCAACATAAACTCAGTCAAACAGGAAACAGGATGAGATCTGAAGAAGAGTCTGAGCGTCTTTTATTGTCCAGACGACAAACAGAGTCTCGACCAAAACTGAGGAAAAACCTCTTTAAGTTTTTCCTCTTCTCCCTTTTATATCTGAATCTGTGTGTATCTGAATACAGTCAATGTGTACTGTTTGTATCTCTAATATGTGTGTGTGTGTGTCTTCCGTCATCACGGGTATATCATATCTATCCTCCAGGATAGGTTCCTCGTGATGACGTGTTGTACTTTTCTCTGAATCTCTTCGTTTAGATTTAGATTATAAAAACATATATATATATATATATATATATATATATATACTGTAGATATCTACAGTATACTATATACTGTAAATATACTGTAGGCAGTAAAAGTATACTGACTTTTACTTAATGACTCTGTTTTATGATGTTTTTATGTTTTATACTGTGAAGCACTTTGTGTACCCGTACTGCGAAAAGCACTATATAAATAAACCTTTACTTACTTTACTGACTTACTTAGGCTACTGCTCTACTGCTCCAGGAAGACTGACTGATCAAACTCGGACCAGAAAAGCGTTTTCAGCTACGCCAAAAGATAATTACTCTAAATTTAATTTCCTAAATGTATGAAACAATTCGACTACAAAGTCCAGTCCAGTCCAGCTGTGGTGAGACGCCTCCTCATCCTGTTTTATTTTGGCTGGACTTCCTGTTTTTCCCTGTTTGCCTGGTCTGGCTTCACTCTTTTCCAGAGCTTCCTCCCCTCCCCCGGCGCTGAGGCTGAGTGAGACGACACACCTGCTCCTCATCTCCAATTAAGGGACTTTAAGAAGCCTGCAGCCCTCAGTCTCAGCGCCTGAGTATTGTCTACCCTTCCTCCTGGCCTTCCTCGTGGTATAACTTTGAGAACTTTGCTCCTAGTGACTCTTTTTCATGTTCTCTCACTCCTTTCTCCTCTGGTTTCTCCTGCAGTGTCTCCAGCCCACACGACAGCCAGCCAACCAGCCAACCACCCGGACTTCCTTTGTTTCCTTAGCTATCCCTTTCTGTTTTGGACATTAAATTCGCTTTACGTTGATCCCTGTCTCAGTGTCTGCTTCTGGGTCCTCACTACGAGCCTGCCTCACAACACCAGCTCAAAGATACCAGGCAGGAACCATGAACTGGACCTAAACTCTCAGAAAGAGTTGAACAGCTGCTGCTCTGGTTTTTAGGACCTGGGGTCCGTTTCACGTAGCAGGTTTAGTGGAAACTCCGAGTTTGTTAACCCTGAAATCAGGGAAACTCTGAGTTTTCCGTTTCACAAAGGAGGGTTAGTTAAACCAGGGAGAGAGGGGTAACTCTAACCTGTTTCACGAAGAGAGGTAACTCAACCTCGCGGTCAGTTACCACAGTAACAGACTCCGTGAACCTAACCTGCTCGGGAGCAGGTTTAACTCAGTAAACCCAGAGTTTCAGGTGAGACATCGGCATTTTCTCATTTTGATCATGTTTTACATTGTCAAGTAAGTATTAAGTGGCAGTTTGATCCCTTAAAAAATGCTCTTTTCACACTCAAAACTGAATTTTACTCTATTATGTTCCGTTAAATGATTAGGAATATTAAACTAACACAAAAACAGGTGGTGGTCCAGCAGCCCCACCTTTAACGGAGGCAGAGGAGCTGCCCCCCACCCCCCCCGTTCGACGATCGCGGCCGGTCCGATCGCAAACACCCCCCCCCACAGACACACACACACACACACACACACACACACACACACACACACGCACACCAGTCCGACGATCGCTGCTACGGGGTGGGGGTTGCGATCGTCGAAGGGGGGGCAGCTCCTCTGCCTCCGTTAAAGGTGGGGCTGCTGGGCCACCACCCGTTTTTCTGGCATCTGCCCTCTTTCTGTTTGCTGAGTGAAAGTCTAATATTGCGTGTAGTGTGTGTTAGTTTAATATATGTACATATACATACTGAGAGTTAGTTTAATATTCCTAATCATTTAACGGAACATCATAAGAGAGTAAAATTCATTTTTGAGTGTGAAAAGAGCATTTTCTAAGGGATCAAACTGCCACTTAATACTTACTTGACAATGTAAAACATGATCAAAATGATTCAAGCAGTTTCCCTGCAACAGTCTGTCATTGTGATGGCACGAGACTAGATTTAAAGTTACGCATTGACGCGAGCAGCGATTTCCTCCCAAGCCCTCTCCCTCTCCTTTGCAGCTGCTGCTGTATTGCGCTTTCTTTTAAAAACGTGCTGTAATTCGCTGTTGGCTTGCTGCTGCCCCCTCCTTCTCCCTGTTCTATTGGTTGTTCATTGAATCTGCGCTCCACAGATGCTGGCTGTTTATGTCTGGCGTGCACGTGCTTAACTCCAGGTCAAACTACTCGGAGTTGTTAAAACCGTCTCAAATCAGGAGTTGTGAAACCGGAAACTCAGAGTTTCCTAACTCAGAGTAGATCAACTCAGAGTTAAGGATTTAACTCAGAGTTTGTTGAACCACCTACGTGAAACGGACCCCAGATCTTCGCTCTCTCTCTCTCTCAAAGCTTCAGTTTTAACTTCATGTCTTCATGGTTGGACCTTCAGCTCTGATCAGCGTCTGTCTTTAGTCTGAACTCTGAGGTTCCACATCAGAACAGAGTCCAAGGACTTCTTTAACATCTTCTTCTCCTGGTCTCAGGTGTGTTTGACGTGGTCATCGTTGTTGGGGGTCTGGGTCCCGGTTGTATTCCGGTCCATGTGGTCAGGGAGCTCTGTGATGCAGCCAAACCAGATGAGAACATGAAGCTCCTGTCCTCCAAACCAAACCATCTGAGGACGTCTTCTTTGGGGACACTGAGAGACCAGCATGAGGTCCACTGTGAGGTCTGGTCTTCAGAGAGTCCCCCTCCTCACTATTCAAGATCTTTCTAAAGAGGTTTTCCACCAAACTGTCTCTGAGTGAACCGTCTGCTGTCTGTCTGTCTGCAGGAGGTCTGGTCTGCATGAGCCTAGGAGACCACCTAGGAGCCAAGAGTCAAAGGTTCAAGGCTGATCTGGAGATGGAGCTGCAGCTGATGGAGCAGGAGGGTCAGTGGACTCAGCTGGGAATCAAACGCATCGACAGGTACATGGGCAACACACATCAGAGCACCGAGGGAGACCGAGACCACCAGCAGGGGGAGCAGTTCATCAGCGGCTTTATCTACCTGTACAGGAAGTCCAGTCAAAGGGTCTCAAACAATCCGAAAACAGGAGTCTGATCCTGGACCGAACAAATCCGGCTGTGATCAGGGTCAGGAGGATCAGGATCAGGGTCAGGATCGTGAATAAACCTGAAAATTTTCTCTAAGTCTTCATTTGTGAATTTTTTATTTATGTAAAAAAAAAACCACACACACATCACTCCCTGATTTACTAAAACATTTTATTTAAAAAAATAAAACCTTTCAAATGTTTTAAAAAAGTGTTCAATTTTTTTTAAAAGGATCATGAAAGTAAAGATTTAAAAAGTCTTATAGGTCTTAAAAAATTCTTAAAAAGTCTAAGATTCTTTTAAAGTCTTGAAAAGTCTTAAAAGTCTAAAAAATTTTGAAACTGGGTTAACAAGATTGATGGCCTTAAAGTGTCTCATGAAGTTTTATCTTCATACAGACTTGAATGTTTTAAGGCCTGAGTTTGTCTTAAAAAGTCTAAAAAAAGTCTCTAAAAAGTTAAACATGAAATTATTTGAATGTGAATGTCTGAAAGCTTTTAACTCTTCAGTTCAATTCATAAATTAAAATGTCTTTAGAAGACTAAAACTAGTCTACGGTTAAATTTGAGGCTCTAAAATTTGTGTGACGAGGTTAAAGGCCTGAAAATGTTTAAAAAATATATATAATTTTATAAACAAACTTCAAATCATTTAAAACCTGCAAAAGTTCTTGAAACTCCTTTGACAGAGTTCACAGAGTTATAAATGAAGACTGGACTATCACTGTGTCCACAGGAGGGTGCCAAAACCATCACAAACTGAAGGTCCGAATCCTGCTGCTGGACCCATACAGAACCTGACCATCAGGTCTCAGTCTGAGGTCCGAGCAGCTGAAGGAAACCTGAAACAGAAAACACACACACACACACACACACACACACACACACACACACACACACACACACACACACACAGAGGTGAATAAAAACGTCTTTTAACCCACTGGTTCTGGTTCTGGTCAGCTGTTTTAGAGTCGAGGATTTTTATTTTTCAAAAAAGTTCAAACTCAGATTTACTCTGACTTCATTTCCTTCAAGATTGATAAATTGAATTTTAATGTCATTGTCACATTTAAAAGTGTCTTTACAGTCAGTGCATTAAAAAAAAGGACAATAAACCATTATACAGTAAACCAGTAAAACCAGTGCAGAGTTAAAACCGGTAAAGAATTAAAACTACACTCATAAATACATCAGCAGAACTCATTATCTGGTTTTCATGGAGGCGTAGATGGAACAGACAGGAAAACCTGTTTGACAGTCTTTTTGTCCTGACTTGGACGGTCCTTTACCGTAACAAGTTTAATCTTTCCCTTCGTTTTTGAGAACATCCCTGAAGATTCATGTCTGCAGCAGAGATTCTGAAACTACATTTAAACATGAACACCACCAGGTGTCACTGTAAAGCCGAACTTTAGCCGACATGACTGAAAGAAGATTCACAGGAAGAACACTCTCCTCTGTTACTGTGTGATGATGATGGCGCCCACGATGAAGATGAGCAGAGAGTGAAGTGTGAAGAGAACCACACGAATTACAAGCATCGGGTCAATAGAACCAGAATCCGTGAGAATAAAACACAACAGATTCAGTTAGCCCCGGATCAGGTCCTAGGGATAAGGTATTAGAGACGCCTTTAAAACAGAAATATCATCAGGTCATCTAAAAGGTCAGACCACACTGATCTAAGTCTGTAACATTCTATGTCTACATCAGTCTAAGTCTATAGTAGTCTGAGTCTATATCAGTCTGAGTCTATATCAGTCTATGTCTAACTCAGTCTGGGTATATACTGGTCTATGTCTATATCAGACTGAGTCTATAATATTCTAAGTCTACAACAGTCCACATCTATATCAGTCTGAGTCTATACTAGTCAATGTCTATATCAATCTGAGTCTATAATATTCTAAGTTTATAACAGTCTGTCCATCTAAGTCTGAGTCAATAACAGTCTATGTCTATATCAGTCTAAGTCTTTATGAGACTGAGGGCTCTATTTTGGTGCCTCGCCGGAGACGTGCCGCAAGCGCAGCGTCAGTCAGATCCGCTGCGCTGACAAGGCGTTCCCAAGCACATTTTGGTATTTTGGTGAGCCACGCAGCCCGGCGTAAGTATCCCCCCTCCCTAACTCAGCTCCTCCCAGCACCATAAGTCGTAGATGGGGAGGAGAAAGGGCGTGTAGGGGGTTTAACACAGCCGAGACCTGTTTTCACCAATCACATAAGCTCCTCTCCTTGCCTTTAAATGCCACAGGCGAGGCGTATTACTATTTTCATGAAGTAGTCAAAGAGATCAAGAGATGTCTTAAGACAGTAATGCCACAAGATGGTGACAGAGGGCAGCTCCTCAACAAGTGTCCTCCACACCCTCTCATATAAGCACAGATGGATTTGGTGTGTGTAATGTTGGACCCAGTGGTAAGACAAACACCCTTTTTCACAAATAAAGACACTCACATAAAGTTGCATATATTCAAACCTCACGTGACAAAGGTGGGTTGAGCGCACAGATCACAACATTAACTCCAAAAATGGCATTAAAATCGGAACCATCTGTGCGTAAATGACGCATCGCGCTCCGTCGCCTGGCTCTGTCTTTCATAGATGTTGGCATATAAAATAAATTTGGCCCACAAAACTGAATATTATAATATCCATATGTCGGCTTAAAGTAGATAACGCATCTGAGCACTGAAACAAATCATCTGTTCAGCCGCAGCAGCAGCAAGAAGGACAGAGGACACAGAGACGTGTCCAGGTCGAGCTGTGCGAGAAATAAGAGGAAGAGGAAGAAAGAAAAGGAGGGAGGCGAATTACATGTCTTGTTAACTTCATCATGTGTGTATATTTACCAGATGTTTAATTTAATATGATGCGGTTTCAGCTGTGTTGGTTTCGGTCAGGTTGTGTGTCCAAACGCGTGCCAAACGCGTTCATCAGATCAGATATAGATCAGAATATATCGATATAGATCTAAATGTATGTGCTGAATCAGATTAATAGTTGATGATTATTTATTGCACTGAAATGTGCCTGACACTGTGGAAACCTGCTGGTGAGGCATCAGTGACGTATGCCGATATGCCGCCGGTCTACCAAAATACTACTGGACCAGCTGCGTTCCACCTTGCGCTGAAAGCTGACCAGGTTTGAATCGGCGAGCTTTCAGCGCACTTTACACGCCGGTGGCGAGCACGAAAATGTCACTGCACCAGCTGATTCTGTTGACACCTCCCCCTGCCACGCCACCACGCCCAGCTTGGCGGATCTCGGCTCGCCTCCGTGCGGCTCAGTTCACGAAAATACCAAACTGGCCTTACGCCGGGCTCCGCCAGACGAAAATACAACTGCGCGGGGCTCGCCGCCCTCCGCCGCCTCACCGGCGCGCACGAAAATAGAGCCCTGAGTCTACATCAGTCTATGTCTAACTCTGTCTGGGTATATACTGGTCTATGTCTATATCAGACTGAGTCTATAATATTCTAAGTTTATAACAGTCTGTCCAAATAAGTCTGAATCAATAACAGTCTATGTCTATATCAGTCTAAGTCTTTATGAGACTGAGTCTACATCAGTCTATGTCTATATAAGTCTGAGTCTATAATATTCTAAGTCTATAACAGTCCACATCTATATCAGTCTGGGTCTATACTAGTCAATGTCTATATCAATCTGAGTCTATAATATTCTAAGTTTATAACAGTCTGTCCAAATAAGTCTGAGTCAATAACAGTCTATGTCTATATCAGTCTAAGTCTTTATGAGACTGAGGGCTCTATTTTGGTGCCTCGCCGGAGACGTGCCGCAAGCGCAGCGTCAGTCAGATCCGCTGCGCTGACAAGGCGTTCCCAAGCACATTTTGGTATTTTGGTGAGCCACGCAGCCCGGCGTAAGTATCCCCCCTCCCTAACTCAGCTCCTCCCAGCACCATAAGTCGTAGATGGGGAGGAGAAAGGGCGTGTAGGGGGTTTAACACAGCCGAGACCTGTTTTCACCAATCACATAAGCTCCTCTCCTTGCCTTTAAATGCCACAGGCGAGGCGTATTACTATTTTCATGAAGTAGTCAAAGAGATCAAGAGATGTCTTAAGACAGTAATGCCACAAGATGGTGACAGAGGGCAGCTCCTCAACAAGTGTCCTCCACACCCTCTCATATAAGCACAGATGGATTTGGTGTGTGTAATGTTGGACCCACTGGTAAGACAAACACCCTTTTCCACAAAAAAGACACTCACACAAAGTTGCATATATTCAAACCTCACGTGACAAAGGTGGGTTGAGCGCACAGATCACAACATAAACTCCAAAAATGGCATTAAAATCGGAACCATCTGTGCGTAAATGACGCATCGCGCTCCGTCGCCTGGCTCTGTCTTTCATAGATGTTGGCATATAAAATAAATTTGCCTCACAAAACTGAATATTATAATATCCATATGTCGGCTTAAAGTAGATAACGCATCTGAGCACTGAAACAAATCATCTGTTCAGCCGCAGCAGCAGCAAGACGGACAGAGGACACGGAGACGTGTCCAGGTCGAGCTGTGCGAGAAATAAGAGGAAGAGGAAGAAAGAAAAGGAGGGAGACGAATTACATATCTTGTTGACTTCATCATGTGTGTATATTTACCAGATGTTTAATTTAATATGATGCGGTTTCAGCTGTGTTGGTTTCGGTCAGGTTGTGTGTCCAAACGCGTGCCAAACGCGTTCATCAGATCAGATATAGATCAGAATATATCGATATAGATCTAAATGTATGTGCTGAATCAGATTAATAGTTGATGATTATTTATTGCACTGAAATGTGCCTGACACTGTGGAAACCTGCCGGTGAGGCATCAGTGACGTATGCCGATATGCCGCCGGTCTACCAAAATACTACTGGACCAGCTGCGTTCCACCTTGCGCTGAAAGCTGACCAGGTTTGAATCAGCGAGCTTTCAGCGCACTTTACACGCTGGTGGCGAGCACGAAAATGTCACTGCACCAGCTGATTCTGTCGACACCTCCCCCTGCCACGCCACCACGCCCAGCTTGGCGGATCTCGGTTCGCCTCCGTGCACCTCAGTCCACGAAAATACCAAACTGGCTGTCAGTCTGAGTCTATACTAGTCGATGTCTATATCAATCTGAGTCTATAATATTCTAAGTTTATAAAAGTCTATGTCCATATAAGTCTGAGTCAATAACAGTCAGTCACCATAAATTCTTCATGGACACCTTATTTTTCTGTTTTTATTAGAGTCATTGAAGTTATCATCGACACTTTATTTTACTGCTCTTATTAGAATTTTTGAACTGACCATAAATACTTAATTATCTTGCTTGTAATAGAGCCATTGAACTCACTAAAACACTATTTTCCTGCTTGTATTAGAGGCAATGAACTCATCACAGACACTTTATTTTCCTGTTTTTATAGATAACATTGAACTCATCACAGACACTTCATTTTCCTGCTTTTATGAGAGTCATGGAACTCATCATGGACACTTTATTTTCCTGCTTTTATCAGAGTCATTGAACTCAACATGGGCATTTTATTTTCCTGTTGTTATTAGAGTCATTGAACTCATCATGGACACTTTATTTTCATGCTGTTATTAGAGGCATTGAACTCACCATAAATACTTCATTATCCTGCTGTTATAAGAATCATTGAACTCACCATAAACACTATTTTCCTGCTTTTATTAGAGACATTAAACTTATCATGGACACTTTATTTTCCCGTTTTTATTAGAGTCATTGAACTTCTCATGGAAATGTTATTTTACTGCTTTTATTAGAATCATTGAACTTACCATAAATACTTCATTATCCTGTTGTTATTAGAGTCATTGAACTTACCATAAATACTTCATTATCCTGTTGTTATTAGAGCCATTGAACTTACCATAAATACTTCATTATCCTGTTGTTATTAGAGTCATTGAACTTACCATAAATGCTTTATTTTCCTGCTGTTATTAGAGTCATGGAACTCACCATAAATACTTCATTATCCTGCTGTTTTTAAAGTCATTGAACTCACCATAAACACTCTATTTCCCTGTTTTTATTAGAGACATTGAACTCATTATGGACACTTTATTTTACTGCTTTCATTATAGCCATTGAACTCACCATAAATATGTTATTATCCTGCTGTTATTAGAGTTATTGAACTCACCATTAATACTATTTTCCTGCTGTTATTAGAGTCATTGAACTCATCATGGACACTCCCCTTTGCTGTGTCTATTTACAGGTATTTTTTCCTGGTCTAGACTCTTGTTTGTCTTGCTCCTCTGAGGACCCTCTCCGTTGTCAGACTGACTCTTCCATCGTCTCTTTGGAGATTTGTTCTCATCTGAGTTTTTAAAATCAGATTGAGGTTTTTGCCAAAGTGTGAGTGTTTGAATTTTGTCTTATTGTTCAGATGTTTTTAAGTTTCTTCTCTGACTTCGATCCTGCGGGAGCGTCAGGTCTTTGTGGAAGAGTTTCACATGTTCATGTGGTCAGATGATGCAGTGAAGCCTGAACTCAGAGGAGGTGCAGACAGGAATCTCTGTGGATCCTTCCTGTGTTCCTCTGTCATGTTCTCCTCATGGTCCCTCAAACACCATCTCTCTAACAGGTCTGTAGTCGTCTCCTCATCATGTCCTCCAGCTCCAGATCTTTAGAGGACGTCAAAGCGCTCCTTCAGTCCAGCACAATGACCAACCCACAGCTGACCGTGGACTTCTACAACAGCTGGTCCGAGATGTACGAACAGGTGAGCAGACATATGACACTGGTCCTCTGGAGGAGAGGAGACCGAGACTTAGGACTCAGACTAAAGACTCAGACTAAGGAGGTAAAACCAGGATCTGAAGGTCAGGACTCATAATTCAGGGTGACGAAGTCTTCGTTTAGTTCCTTTATTCTCTTCAGAGAGGAGTGGGATTAACAGCTGAGTACAGATGTCCGCACAGTCTATATACATTTATTTATTTATTTATATTGGTTTTTAGTGCTGCTTTTGTACTGGCACTATACTAGGACAGCTGTATACCCTTTAACACTTTATTTTTTATATTTAGATTTGCATTGAATGGACACTTTATCATGACTGCCACTTGTTTTACAGAAAGCAAACTGTTTGTTATTCTCCAGTGCAGAATCTTTACTTTTATTTATACAGCCACTTTATTTCATTTAAGTTTGTTTGTTCAAGGTTTTCAAAAATGTGACGAAGGTTGGGAAAAATAATAGATAGCTTTCTAGAAAGCCACATGTATAAGCTCTCAAATACTCTTTGAATTTTGTTTCTATCTGCTACAGAGGCTGAGATATCAGCTTTTTTTCGTTGGTTTGTTTGTTTGTGAGTTTGTTTGTCTGTTAGCAACTTTACGGAGAAAGTAGCAGACGGATTGACCTGAAATAGCGCCAATGCTTTTTACTTTCACCTGGGCCCCATGGGCCCCAAACCATCTGCTACAGAGCTCCTCATCTGGCGGTCGACGTTCTGAACGCAAACTTCTCTGGGAGTCGAGAAGGTGTTCAGGTTCTGGACGTGGCCTGTGGGACTGGCTTGGTCGCTAAACTGGTGAGCGAAAACACTTTTGGATTCGATAAAGCTAAAATGAAGTTAATCCTGTTTGGTTCAGTGATCAGGACGTCAGTCTTTCAGGTTTTTTAATCCTGCTGCTTTCCTGTACACTCTCTCAGAGTCTTTGTTTGTGTGTACAGATGTCAGCGCACGGCTTTAAACACTTTGTGGGAGTGGATGGTAGTGAGAAAATGCTGAAACTAGCTGCTGAGACGGGCCTCTATCAGGACCTCAGACTGGCTGTACTGGGAACAGAACCTCTGCCGACAAAGACCGGTAAACTGGAAACCTCAAAAACAATCCCACACATATACAGAAAAAAACATCTGATACGATAACTTTAAACATCTGAAATCTGACTCACAGTTCAGTACAGGGGATTGATCAGAGTGGTCTAGCCCGGGGAGTAATTTAGATTTAGTCTAGAACCGCCACTGGATATAATGCAGATAAATCCTTCAGATAATTACCTCCGCCAAGGAGGTTATGTTTTCGGTAGCATTGGTTTGTTTGTTTGTTTGTTAGTTTGTTTGTCTGTTAGCAACTTTACGGAGAAAGTAGCAGACGGATGTGATCCAGAACACACAAAAATTAGGGTGTCGTTGGAATTTTCAATGCTGAAAGATAACCAATGGGCGGCACATCAGTATAGATAGGCAGCACAGTGGTGTAGTGGTTAGCACTGTCGCCTCACAACCCGAAGGTCCTGGGTTTGAATCCCAGTCAGGGCATTTCTTGTTTAAGGGGGGACATGAGCTGCTTGGCGGAGGTCTGCGCTCTCCGAGTGCTTTTCTAGTTACAAATGGGGCCCAGGTGAAAGTAAAAAGCATTGGTGCTACTGTAGATGCCAACAGACTACCAGCAAACACAATGTTTGCAGGACTTCTACAGCTAGGATAAAGTGACATACTCCAGGACCCGAGGCCAACAGTTCAGCGGCGCTACAACACGCTACAGCAGGTCCCATTTGACAAGAAACACTTATGTTACAGACACTTGGCTTACTAGAGGACTCAGACTTCCTCTTAGACCCGATTAGAGACTGGATTCCTGTTTTTTATCCGGGTGGCGTTCAGTCTTTGCATACATGTTCGGCCTTGTTCAGATATTGAGATAAAAACAAACTAAACCTGCTTGGTCAGAGGAAAGGTCACTGGATGGAAAACCACTGAAATCGTCTGTCATCACTTCAATCCGGTTTTCTTATGGTCCACAATAAAAGCGACTCGATGTCTGAAATCAGCTGAACATGTGACTGAAATACTAACCATCACCATGAACCAACAGGACTCTGAGACCATCTGCTACAGAGCTCCTCATCTGGCGGTCGACGTTCTGAACGCAAACTTCTCTGGGAGTCGAGAAGGTGTTCAGGTTCTGGACGTGGCCTGTGGGACCGGCTTGGTCGCTAAACTGGTGAGCGAAAACACTTTTGGATTCGATAAAGCTAAAATGAAGTTAATCCTGTTTGGTTCAGTGATCAGGACGTCAGTCTTTCAGGTTTTTTAATCCTGCTGGCTTCCTGTACACTCTCTTTGGTTGTGTGTACAGATGTCAGCGCACGGCTTTAAACACTTTGTGGGAGTGGATGGTAGTGAGAAAATGCTGAAACTAGCTGCTGAGACGGGCCTCTATCAGGACCTCAGACTGGCTGTACTGGGAACAGAACCTCTGCCGACAAAGACCGGTAAACTGGAAACCTCAAAAACAATCCCACACATATACAGAAAAAAACATCTGATACGATAACTTTAAACATCTGAAATCTGACTCACAGTTCAAGTTGAAGACCTGGAGCTTTAACATCTTAACATGAGCAGATCTGCAGGATCAGGAGACAGTCATACGTTAGTTTCTGAAGGTTCAGGTTATGGAGGAGAAAAGATCGATTTCTGGCAGATATTATTGGATCTTCCAACATGGAGAAATCTGTGTGTTTAACCATCAGAAGATTGAAGTGAATATAATCAGGGTAAATTTGTAATAAAAAACACTGAGGATTATAATGTTTGACATAGAACAGATGTTTTCAGCGCTGAGAAAGCTTGACTCTGAAAGGTGGAAAATCCAACATAAACTCAGTCAAACAGGAAACAGGATGAGATCTGAAGAAGAGTCTGAGCGTCTTTTATTGTCCAGACGACAAACAGAGTCTCGACCAAAACTGAGGAAAAACCTCTTTAAGTTTTTCCTCTTCTCCCTTTTATATCTGAATCTGTGTGTATCTGAATACAGTCAATGTGTACTGTTTGTATCTCTAATATGTGTGTGTGTGTGTCTTCCGTCATCACGGGTATATCATATCTATCCTCCAGGATAGGTTCCTCGTGATGACGTGTTGTACTTTTCTCTGAATCTCTTCGTTTAGATTTAGATTATATAAACATATATATATATATACTGTAGATATCTATAGTATACTATATATTGTAAATATACTGTAGGCAGTAAAAGAATACTGACTTTTACTTAATGACTCTGTTTTATGATGTTTTTATGTTTTATACTGTGAAGCACTTTGTGTACCCGTACTGCGAAAAGCACTATATAAATAAACCTTTACTTACTTTACTTACTTACTTAGGCTACTGCTCTACTGCTCCAGGAAGACTGACTGATCAAACTCGGACCAGAAAAGCGTTTTCAGCTACGCCAAAAGATAATTACTCTAAATTTAATTTCCTAAATGTATGAAACGATTGGACTACAAAGTCCAGTCCAGTCCAGCTCAAAGATACCAGGCAGGAACCGTGAACTGGACCTGAACTCTCAGAAAGAGTTGAACAGCTGCTGCTCTGGTTTTTAGGACCTGATCTTGGCTCTCTCTCTCAAAGCTTCAGTTTTAACTTCATGTCTTCATGGTTGGACCTTCAGCTCTGATCAGCGTCTGTCTTTAGTCTGAACTCTGAGGTTCCACATCAGAACAGAGTCTGAGCACTTCTCTAACATCTTCTTCTCCTGGTCTCAGGTGTGTTTGACGTGGTCATCGTTGTCGGGGGTCTGGGTGCCGGTTTTATTCCGGTCCATGTGGTCAGGGAGCTCTGCGATGCAGCCAAACCAGGTGAGAAAATGAAGCTCCTGTCCTCCAAACCAAACCATCTGAGGACGTCTTCTTTGGGGACACTGAGAGACCAGCATGAGGTCCACTGTGAGGTCTGGTCTTCAGAGAGTCCCCCTCCTCACTATTCAAGATCTTTCTAAAGAGGTTTTCCACCAAACTGTCTCTGAGTGAACCGTCTGCTGTCTGTCTGTCTGCCTGCAGGAGGTCTGGTCTGCATGAGCCTAGGAGACCACCTAGGAGCCAACAGTCAAAGGTTCAAGGCTGATCTGGAGATGGAGCTGCAGCTGATGGAGCAGGAGGGTCAGTGGACTCAGCTGGGAATCAAACGCAGCGACAGGTACATGGGCAACACACATCAGAGCGCCGAGGGAGACCGAGACCACCAGCAGGGGGAGCAGTTCATCAGCGGCTTTATCTACCTGTACAGGAAGTCCAGTCAGACGGTCTCAAACAATCCGAAAACAGGAGTCTGATCCTGGACCGAACAAATCCGGCTGTGATCAGGGTCAGGGTCAGGATCAGGGTCAGGATCAGGATCAGGATCAGGGTCAGGATCAGGGTCAGGGTCAGGATCGTGAATAAACCTGAAAATTTTCTCTAAGTCTTCATTTGTGAATTTTTTATTTATTTAAAAAAAAAACACACACATCACTCCCTGATTAACTGAAAAATTTTATTTAAAAAAATAAAACCTTTCAAATGTTTAAAAAAAGTGTTCAAGCCAGGCTCAGCACACAGAGCACTGGGGGTTACATTTAAAACCCTTCACTAGAGCACTTGACAAACTTCGGCCCCTATCTCCTCCCACAAACTGTGAGCTACAGAAACCATTCAGGGCTTCAAAAATTTAGCTCATTGGGTACATGATGGGGTGTATTCAGGATTTTTATTCAATTAAATTTTCCCCATTTTAAAATCACTCAGTGATAATGCATTGCTCAATTCTTCAAACAAAGTAAAACTTAATCAAACTGATTCAAACCTTTCTGATACTTGAAAACTTTTTAAATACTTGAGGATTTTTAATTATTAAATTTTTCCCGGTTTAAAATAGTTTTAATATTCATGCATTATTCACCCCTTAAACAAACCCCACTTCTACTACTACAACTACTGCTAATATCAATTAAACTAGTCATTTGACTTCTACTTCAACTACTATTGCTACTATTTCTACTTTCTCTACTGCTACTTCTACTTCTACCACTAGCTCTACTACTCTGACTTCTTCTTCTTCTATTCTCAACTATTTTCACTGCTTACATGACTACTAATATCACTACAACGACTACTTATCATCCTACCACTAGAACTACAACTTAAAGTTATGCTACTTCTCACTTACCTGTCTTTTAAGGTAATTTACTTCTTCATTCAAACTTTGTGCAATTTCAGTCATTTTTCTGGCCTCTTTCAGCATGAATAAAATGTCAATTTATGGAGCATATTCATACTATTTGTCCTTCAACCATTATCACAATTATTCAACTTCTATTTCTTCACCCCTTAAACAGCTTTTACATTTATACCTTCCTCTATTTTTATTAGCAGTTTTGCATTGCTTTTTTAGCTTTCAGCAGTCAGCATTTCCACGCATTTTCTGCAAGGAAATGCAATTTTTCTAGTTGCATTAGATAAGCTATTGCAGTTCTTTGTAAGTTTAACTCCTGCTCAAAATAAGAGCTGTGCAAGTTTCATTTTTTACCAAGCAACAGGCCTGGAAACAAATTCAGAATAATAGCAGTGTTTGAAAACATGGCAGTATCTGCACAGAGAAAAATGGATCAGGCTTTTATTTTGAAAAGCTTTCAAACATCGTTTATTTTTTAAAGTATAACACTAGGTAATAATAATAACAATAATAATAATAATAATAATAATAATGATAATAATAATAATAATAATAATAATAATAATAATAATCATCATCATCATCCTCTCTGGAACTCTCTCCCCTCTGAGATTCGCCAAGCACAGACTCTTGACTCTTTCAAGTCTGCTCTGAAGCGACACTTGTTTATCCAGGCTTTTGGTATTTAGTTTTTGTAGTGTGTTGTTAAGCGCCTTGGGTATCCTGAAAGGCGCTATATAAATGTAAGATATTATTATTATTATTATTATCATCATCATCATCATAATATGTTTTATTTATAGGCACTTTTCAGGGCACTCAAGGTCACCCTACAGGGCAATTAAAATGACAAGTAAAATACACATCAACAATTCAAAAAGCTTTAAATAAGAAGTTGTAAATCTGGACTCTGCGGCAGAACAACAACTGTCAGTCTGAGTAGACCTGTCTAAAATAATGCTTGTGACTTAACATAGCTAATACAGCCCTTAATCTCAATTTTTATGTGCAGTCCTGGCAGAGATGGCAGAAAATCAAGGTGTCTCACTCATGCCAACAGTCTAGCTGCTCTTATATGTCAACATGTATGCTAATAATGAAGCCCCTACGAGACCTTTGTGCAGCTGGCACATTGTCTGTGTGAAGCATAGGGAACAGTCTGCTGTGAAAAGGCAAGTGAGCAAGATCAGGGTTTACTAGGCCAACTGTGCTGAACCAAACCAGATGCTTAGTGAATACTAGTTTTCTTCTCTCTTCATTATTATTATTATTATTATTATTATTATTATTATTATTATTATTATTATTTATTTTTTATTTTTTTATTTTATTTATTTTTAGCAAGAAAACTGTTTGAAAGGCTTTAATCTCATAGTCCTCTTCACACATGCATAAAACTAAAGAAAATATTTCGAAATTGCCAGAGTGGGATTTTCATCCCAGCTACATCTGGAAGTTGTCCCACCAGCTCACTGGAAAAACTTCCATGTGAAGTCTGGGCGAGAACTTAACAGGAAACGTTCAGGAAAACTCAAGGGAACAAGAGACAGGGGGTGACAATGTACACATCATGAAAGTTCTGCAATCTACATTAGCTTTGTAACAGTGAAAAAATAATACGACTAGTGCTAATACATTAACAGTAGCCTTGTAAGTGATGAGACTAGGGCTAACACATTGAAATTAGCTTTGTAAGTGATGAGACTAGGGCTAATACATTAACATTAGCTTTGTGTCAGTGGTAAAATGGTGGGATGATGCTTGTAGTTAAAGCAGCCTGAAATCAGCAGGTTCACAGCAGCAGGACACCTTCAGCAATGATCCAGAGAAACCCACGGGATGATGGAGCTCAGGGACACCCAGAAAAGACTGTGGCTAGTGACTTTGATAGAACATGATGATTTAAAGTTAATGACTCACAGACAGATGGCAGCCATCATACTGGGAATGGCGACTCAGCCTAACTTTTGATCAATCTAAAACAAGACAATGAGATGGAGATGAGAAACAACTTAAGGCCACAGTTATGTACATCACACCCACCTGCCAGTCAAATGGTGTTGGTGTTGACACCTTTAATAAAATCAGCTACCACAGTCAGCGCATGCCAAATTATTTGTTACTGCTGATATCTATCGGCAAAGGAATTGAATTTGAGATGCGGTACTCAGCTGATCTAAACTGATTAATTCTGTTATTGTTGTGAAACATCTGCATGTCGAATTCTGGGTTGAAAATAAAGTGTCTTGGGACCAAAGATGATCACTGCAGAACTTTAAAGACCATAGGTCTCCCACAGCTTGTTCTGCATGTATCACTCTTTGTTCTTATGTGATATTTCAGCTTGTGGTCAGATGGGTTTTACTAACATGCTAATACTTCATATAATTTTGGCTCTGTCAAAGTTTTGGGTCTGATGAACCTTTAATCTGATGTCCAAGAACTTTGTATTAGTTGCATAACACCTCAGTATAATGTTTTGTAGTTTGAATGATTTCTTGAATCTAAATTAGCTTGATGTCCTTCAATATATTCATGACCTTCTTGAATCTTTCTGAAGTGCATCTTAGCAGAGCTCATTGTCGTCTTGTATATTTGAAGCCCAGTCCACAGAGTCACACTGCTGACTTTAGTGTCACTGTCCTCTCTAATCCTGGCAACAACAAAAACTGATCTTCAAGGGCAGATGAAGGTAAAGGAGTCAGCTGTTCTTCCAGCTTATTAGCTGAAGGTGAAGGTTGACATTAAAAACCTTGACAAAGCAATGCTTTTATTTCTCCAGTTTGGCCACTTTTGGAGACTTTCCCATCACTGAACAACCTCCCTCTTTCAGCTCTTTGGGGGCCTTGATGAGAAAGTTCTGCTGATGGGTCTAAAACCCTGAGGAGGTCGGATGCTTAGTGGACAACCACAGAGCTCTCATCCAAGGTAAAAACACACACAAGCACACACTCTCACATCAGCAGGTGTGCAAGTGTTGCTCTGTATGAGGGTTACATTTTCAAATACACAAGTGTCCCCGCAGTAGGAGGATTAGCAGGAGGAGTGTCGGTGAATCACCAGGGATAAACAGTGACGTCTAATGAGAAATCTGAGGAAAAAAAGAAAAAAACGAAAGCTGGATTTATGGGAATGAACGTGACAGTACAAATGTGGGTCTGGAAAAACACTGTTATTTTTGCGTCACTGTGATGTGTGTGTTTTGTAGAAGTGACTCTCACCTCTTGCAACCTGACTGCATGCTGATTGGTGGAGCAAACAAGTCACGGCTCAGATCCGGCCTATCAGAGCACGGCATGTCCCATCTATCGGCGGCGGCGATGAGTCCATTGCTTTAGAGCTGGAGGGTGTGAGGAGCAGAGTGAGAGGGGGCATGGTAAACAAGTAGGACACACACACACACACACACACACACACACACAGACACACACACACACACACACACATAAAGACACATTTATTAACCGTAGTGGACAAGCTTTCGCTTCCCATTAAGTTCAGTGCTGCCCTGAGGATGAGGTAAAAATACTTCAGCACAATGAGAAAGACCACAACATCACCACTGTGTGTATGTCTGCATCCCTTGCATCGTACCTTACACCCACTTTACTCTAAAAGAAATGACTTAACTTGGAAAAAACATTAATTAAATGTTATTGGTGCCAATTTACATTCAAACATTTGAAAAACAATAATTAAAACAAAAATATTTCCTTTAAATCTCAGATAAATCTATAAGGAGTACAATGTAGGCAGATTTATAGGGGTGAACTTTCCAATTCTTATTATCTCTGTACAATATTTGAACAATTTTGGGTCAAAAAAGGATTTTACTTTGACAAAATATCTCTTTCTAAAGGAGGAAAATGCAGGAAATGAAGGAGGCCTCCTCTATCTGGGACACGTGGGTGTTTAAATGTGAAAATGTAGTTCATGACTTGATACCCTCTTCACTTCTGTAAACGCCATACAATCAGTGAACTCCCAAATTTAAGACTTACAGGATTTGTCTAAAACTGATTTCAATACCAAAATACCCTCAAATTTTTAACCTCTACCTTTCTGCATCACACTGTTCTCTCTCTGCTGTGATTTCACATTTTTAAGCCTTTTCTACAGCTCTAGAGTAGGCAATACAGAAAATAATAAAAAATTCCATGCAACAAAAAACCAATATGCCACATTTTTACTATTTTAAAGACAGCGTGCAACATGAAAAGAGTCACTGTGATTTCACCCACTGGTTCCTGGAGGGTTGTTGTGAGGCCCAACAATGGCGGCTATTTAGAAAAAAAAAAGCTGACTCAACCTCACTTCTGATCAACCTGGGAATAACCAAAAAAGTGGAGCTGAGGTGGGCTTTAACCACCCGAGCAAACAGATGCAACACATTCATCTGTCAGTCAAGTCAGCCTTGCCCCTGATTCAGCAAATCTGTGTATATATATCACTCTTTATATTATCATGATAGAGGTGTCATTAAAAAAATCACCCCATGTTCTTCATTTGCAATAAATGACATGAGAGACATACCCCAACTTTTTTTTTGTCCTTTGTGCCAGGCTGTAAACATGGACAATTTAACACAAGAACTCATTTGGACCTCTGCAGCTAGCCCCAAGTGGACACTAGAGGAACTATAGTTTTCATTTTTATTACCCACTGTTGCAGTGGGATTCCCACCAGTAAAACAAAGCACACAAAACTACTCATCAGCTTTACCATTCAGTGTTAAGTTGGTGCAGAGGTGTGTGATTCCCATGTCATGTGAATGTGGTTAGTTCACTGTCTGCAAATGACAACGGCTAGCAAGTGTCCACCTCCTCCCACTTGGACAAAAGCGAAGCCATAAAAACTCCAGTAAAGGATGAGGACATATCATGTCATTTTAACTGTGGCTGCTAAAACCACAGTTACAACATCCTGCCTTTCTATGGTCCCTCCACTACCCTGCTTCTCTGCTACACACAGAGGTATAAGAGAGGTATTTATCAGCAATGTCAATCAAGGCATTTTACTCCATAAAAAACTGAATTAACTACATTACCAGAAAAAATTTACACAAATCGGCAAAAGGAAAATTCTTTTAAAATAAACATAATTTCTGTTTGCCTCGTGAATATTTATGAACATTTTCTTAAAAGAAAGTATCAATCCCACAGCTTTAAATCAACCATCCTTTGTCTGTGGCTCTCAGCAGCTTAGTTTAGCATAATGACTGATTAAAACGAAATCAGTCTGCCTCCTTCTTTCTAAAGGTCACAAATAAAACCAACAGCACCTCTAAAATCCACAAAATTAAAAATAAATAGGTGTTTCCCTGATTTGCAGTCAACTTAGCTAAACCAAGCTAAGTGTGTTCTGGCTGTTTGATATGTTGTTTACATTGGTTTTGTGTAATGAAACTGTACTGTACTACCAACTGCTAGCATTAGCTTCCTCCTTCAACAACAACACTCAAAGTTAGAGCACTGAGCTACATTACTGAATCAAGTTTGAGAGCAGGCAGTTTTAATGAAGAGATTTTAGTATTTTTTAAATCAAACTTGTCTTAAAGCCTTGCTTAGATTCATTTTACGTCTGTTAGCTTTGGGGCTGTTCTCCACAACTGATGCAGAGTTACACAACCACACATAGGCCTACTGTATATCCTCTGTCACACACTGTACCATGTTTCATGTGCCCATCAGCCACCTTTACTTACTGTCACGACTGACAGGAACACACACACACAAACACACACAAATGTATGTCTGCAGGAGGATATGCTGGAGTAAAATACCAGTCAATTCATGCTCAGTGGCATTAGTACGATGTTCCTGCTGCCAGTCACTGAGATAAAAACAAGCGCTCCCTGCTTGGCTGACTTAAATACATTTTTCCGTTGTTTGTGCCAAAGAAGAAAACAATCGGAGCATGTGTGGGTGTGTTTTCACATAATGTGAACACATGACATGCTAATTTGGCAGCAGAAGCTCACAATGTTTCATGTATTAAGCCATCACAGCTTTTATTCCTCCATTTTGAAATAAATAGTCACAGAAAAGACAGTATTTTAAGGCCTTTAGTCTCTACAGTTTCCATGCACAATGGTAATCCATGTATATTATATGTGGGCAAATGAATCTATGCATGTAAAAGGGTGCGTACAAACATTTTATACTGTATAGAAATAACACATGTAGTGGTATTGGTTAAGCATGAACTAAAAGGATCTCTTTAAGCCAAGCATTATCCTTTGCTCCTCTTAAATAACACAGCTGTAGTCTCCTCCTTTATTTTGTGCACCAAACACAGATATATCCTCTTCTCTCCCAGGTCTGCTCTCTGGCTCCTCGTGACAAATCACCACATTAAAAGTGGCCACTTTTAGGCGCACCACACTTCCCTCTGCTTATTGGTTTCAGATAAAACTGCAATATTTCCATTCATCTATTTCCGTTTGTCGATGCTGCGTGTAACCCTTCTTCCACGCACATGCCACACACACTGAGATACACGCACAGCCTTACGCACACTCCTCCTTCTCTTCGGTCGTTAATAATGTACTGATGGCTATAGTGAGGTTACTGACCCGTAGCCGAGCCATAAATCAAACAATACAACTAGCATATGATCATAATAAATAGAGTCTGGATGAGTGTCTCACAGTCAAAAGGATAGACTCGATATTAGCAAGAAACTGAGACTTGTGATGTGATAGAAAACAAATAAGGGGATCTTGAGGTATTTAAACAAATAACAGATGCCTTCATTTTTACTGTTTTACACATTTACTGTTAGATACATGTCTTGTTGGTCCTATTCTGTCTGTAAAGTATCTTTTAAAAATATCTGTGATTGATAATTTGCTGTATATTGAGTTCCCTGTCATTAAAAGGGTTTTAACTTTGTCTCATAGGTTGTATGGGGCCATCTAAAGACATTAAACTGCTACAGCTGACTGGTTTTAATCGCCCTGCAGGAGGCGTCAGGCTGAGATGGATGATAAAATGATGTTAGTCTGACCTCTAGTGGTAGTAAGATAAAACTCCACTAGATTAAAACAGAAGCCTTCCTACTTTTTGCAGCTGGGTCCCCAAATATCAACAACTTTCATGTTATTTTTTCGTCTCAAAAGGTACTCTCATCAGTTCACATTTATAGCCCTGTGGTAGCTCTATTCAATTCAAACAATATCAAAAAATATGAAAGCAAGACAGTGAATCCAGCTGTCAGGGGCTTCAGCCAACATGTAAAATGAAAATGTTGTTTACCTTTGCAATTTTTATAGAGAAAAGTGAAACAGAATTTAGATGGATATTAAATTTATGTTAAAGACACCAAACAATTGATATGAGGATAAAACAAGCACAGTGACAGCTCATATGAGAACAGACTGAATTTGATCAAAAGCAAACCACACCAGACTGAAGAATGTGTGTTTTATGGATGAGTTTGGATGCTTTTACCCACTGCAAAAGGCTGAATGTCAGATGATACATTCCACAGTGCTCTGAAGAAACAGCTTTGTTTGTTATGATAATGAATTGTTCATTTGTGGGTCACCCCTGAAACTGTGTTTTCTTTTCCTGGACTCTGTCATGTTGAACTTTTGAAAAGTAACAACTTGGGAATCTGACTGCCAAGTTTGATTTTCTATTTATCTCCAGAAGTATAACTTTTTGCAGAGCTGGTTTGTCTGTTGAAGAGCCAAAAAAGTGACACCCAAAAATGTTTCGAACAGTGTAAGCTTTGAAATAAGATGAAACACTATTTTAACAAAGGAGGTTCCTGACAGAGAAACAGTCTCTTTTTGTTCTTGATTTTCTGTCAACGTTCATTTTGTTAGTGGAAGTGTAATTTTTTAAATATTTCACTTCAGTTAGGTTTGACGCTGAAGTGGTACTTCTGCTGTTAAAAGCTTGTTTGAATAAAAGTGTGGGAGGAACATCGTGATTCTTAAACTTACAGATGCAAAAACACACCTTCTGCTGAAAAAAGGTCCCAACAACTGATTCATTTGTATACCTTATACATCAGTCCTTATTTTATTTTTAAATTGTGTACAAAATGTTGGTTTTTAATTAGAAACAACAGGGATTTTACATTTCATACATCAAAAATATATAGTGATTTCATCTACATTGTATTTTCTGCACTTTAAGCAGTCTATAAAACACTTGATTCTCCCTTGATACATCATCCTCAGATAAATTATTCAAGGTTTAGATGGTTTAATAGGCTATTTCTAGAGTCAGATATTCATTCCCTTACTGGGGATGTACCGGTCATGTGGATGCAGATGATGAGCACTGTTTAGCTGTTTTCTAGTGGTGGTGTGCCAAGCAGGTTTTGAGAGGAATGCCCAGTAAAGGTTGTACT